CTTCTGATGATTATAGAGTGATTTTACAAATTATTTTCCATTCCATAGACTTGTTGTTTTGGCGTGGAAGAGTGAGCTGTGCAAGGAGCTAGGCACCATGATCAACTAGAATTTCAATTCAAGTTTCTATCAAGCCCTTCCTACATGAATCAAGTGACTAGAGCTCTAGAGGGCATCATAGAGAGCATCTTGGTAAGTTATGAATCTAAATATCCTATCCAATCTATCTCTATCTGAAAATCCTTGTTAGAATCACTACTTATCATCACTTGAACTTTTTGGAAACTATGATGCACACAATGTCTTGAGGAGCTGAGTGCAACATGCTCAAAATACTTTGCTTTTATCATCCAAGCTTGCTATTCTCTAAAGGTTTAAAACTCAGCTCTCTGCTAGCAAGGTCAAGAACCTCCATTTCCAGAGCCTCGTCCCAGCCTAGTTTCATTCTTTTTCTCTATTCTTATTTATAGGTGAGATCAGCAGTGAGAGTGAAGTTGGCAAGAGTGCCAAATTTCATGAAGTAGGATTTGAGTTTTGGCTTGGAATTGCCTTTTTGAGAGAGAGGAGATCTTTGGTAAGATTTGAATGGCAATATCAAGTGTGCCCACTATGATAGAATGTGAGAAAGAACAATTGATTTGTCCTTGTTCTTCTCCTTTCTACAAAGATTAAGGATTGAAAGAAAACATCTAACTCTTGGGTTAAATCTTGTATTATGTCTAATGTCTGGTATTGACAAGATCAAGGGTTAGAAGCATGTGAAATAAATGCCCCAGGTTGGCACACTATAGGTCTAGGTTCAATTTCCTCCTGCTAAGCTTGATTCGAGGGGTAGGGTGTTAAGAGAGCAGGGCTCTCAGGAGAGCTGCGGCTCTCAACTTCCATTCATAAGGGCGTGAATTTGCGGGGAAGCGTGGTGAATTGTAAGCAACCAAAGAGAACGACCCATGGGGTTCAAATATAGAGGGAAAGTGCTTATGAGTAAGAGTGCACTTTCTTTTTTAATCGGTTAAGGGTCTTGGGATATTTGGGGTTAAGTGTTCTTGGGTTTGAATAATACTGGGCTAAGTGACCTTTCAGGAAGTCCAAATTCAGGAGCTTACACCAAAAGCAATGAAAATCAATTAGGTTAAACATGCTCTCTAGATTCAGTCTTTGAAAGTCACTTTTGATGTGCAGCCCGGACATATACTTGAGTACATTGGCTAGCGAGCATTAGTCATGCAGCCCGGACATATACTTGAGTACATTGGCTAGCGAGCATCAGTCATGCAAGTCTCATTTCATTCCATAATCCTAGCTTTGTACTTTTACGAAAAAATGAGTGATAGAGCTAGTTGAGATTGCATTACTAATCCTTGTTTTCCACAATACAAATACCCCATAAACACCCAAACTATAGGAAATGCTGGAATGATTATTTTGGTCATGATTGGTACTGGGTTACCAACAGATGATCCTATGCCTTGGACAAAAGGACCAGAAATGGCCTAGCCCACTTGGATTCCTGTAGTGCACCTTATCTCTCTCCCCTTAAGCCAACTGGAAAAGGGGCAATTGCTTGATGAGAGAGCCCTTAGTGGCTATTTTATCCCCCAAGGTTCCAAGCACTAAAGGCTATTTTATCCCCCAAGGTTCCAAGGATCCACGGTGACAGTATATCTAAATCTCATCCCATGATCACATGCGCTACACTCACCCCCCCTTCAAAGATGTCAATGTCCTCATTGACTATTGACTAACAACCCCTATTGAGCCAAGGGGAACCAGCACCTCCATTTCCACACTCAATCTACCAATCCTTGACTATTGACTAACAACCCCTGTCAATGTCCTCATTGACTATTGACTAACAACCCCTATTGAGCCAAGGGGAACCAGCACCTCCATTTCCACACTCAATCTACCAATCCTTGACTATTGACTAACAACCCCTATTGAGCCAAGGGGAACTAGCACCTCCATTTCCACAAGGGGAACCAACACCTCCATTTCCACACTCAATCTACCAATCCTTCCATTGTGTAGATCAGCTATTCCATGTGAGACAACTAGTCATCCACCCGTACCGCAGTCCCACGGTGGATACCTTCATTCGTAGATACTCCACACAAGAGGCCAATCCTTCCATTGTGTAGATCAGCTATTCCATGTGAGACAACTAGTCATCCACCCGTACCGCAGTCCCACGGTGGATACCTTCATCCGTAGATACTCCACACAAGAGGAAGGACGTACGCATGGATGCCCAATACGTACGATTTCAAATTTAGGGGTAGGAATATACCTTGCTCAAGGGTATATTATACTTTTAAGTAGCCACTAATCAATGGGAATCGAACCCGTGCCATTTGCTCCGATACCAACTATAGCGCACCTTATCTCTCTCCCCTTAAGCCAACTGGAAAAGGGGCAATTGCTTGATAAGAGAGCTCTTAGTGACTATTTTATCCCCCAAGGTTCCAAGGATCCATGGTGACAGTATATCTAAATCTCATCCCATGATCACATGCGCTACAATTTCTCACTATAGTAATATAGAGTTCATAGATTTAGTTTTACTATACTAATTTTTGGTGATAAAACTAGACTATTTAAGCTCCTTGAACCATTTCCTGACCTGCAGCCTTTTCAAAAGACCTATTTCCAGAGTCAAAAGCCACCAATTGAGGTTACTTTCAGTCATTAGCATTAGCAATGATCCATCTATTGGTGATTTCATCAAGGCATCATAATTGTAGTGGTTTCCACATAGAAGCATAAGAAAATTGGCAACCTCCAAGGTCATCCATTACATTACTTTCTCCTTTGGTAGATTTCTCACATCATCCACTGTAAAATATGCTTTAGCAAGAATTACACAAATCTAAACAACTTATTACCTGTCATAATGGCTAATGAGTTTGCCATGTCATCTTGGCTTCTTTCACCTACTTTTTAATTTAGACAAAATGGTTCAACCAACAAACTTGCCACTTCTAAATTTTGGATTGTAAGCAACCAAAGGGAACGACTCGAGAGACGATCCATTGGGGTTCAAATATAGAGGGAAAGGGCCTATGAACAAGAGTGCACCCCCTTTTCCAATTGGTTAAAGGTCTTGGGATATTTGGGGTTAAACGTCCTTGAGTGTGAATAGTACTGGGTTGGGTGACCTCCCGGGAAGTCTAAACTCAGGAGCTTATATTTTTCCGTGCAATAGTCAACTATCTTATACATTGTTTGCACTACAAAAACTAGTGTCAGTAACCATAATAGTAGACCAAGGGCTCCAACCTAGTAACTTGATAAGCTCACAGACCAAAATGTCAATACCTTCCTATTCAACTCTTTCCTCAAACATCTTGATATTTTTAAGAAGCCTCTCATTGCAATTGCCTCCCTAGATAGTTGCATTTGACCCAAGAATCCGAATATATGCTTGCACAAAAGTGTAGTTTTGTTGGAAGGGCACATTTGTTCCGAGGCAGCCAGTTGGCATCAAACAAGGCTTGTTGGAGAAGTAAACAATGCCCACCGGGAAGTTTTCTATGTCATATAAAGATGGCAAATCACAATGGTACTTGCTCAAGAATTGCTGTGCCTTCCTGTCATACATATCTTGGAAGTCCTTCAGCATACTGCACAAGATACACCGGTAAGAACTATCTCACAAATTCTCACTCACTCACTGGGAAAATGAGTCCATTGGAAAGTTCTTTAAGCCCTTGCACTTGTTCAGTGCTGCTTGATATCTGTCATAGGATTCCTTTGTCACAACACCATTCTTTTCTTCACTGTGATGTACCTGAAAATGTCATGAATCCCATAGATGTATGTCTGTGTTCCCCAAACTTCAAGATAGAGCTGATGAATATCTAGCCTGTCTTGCAGCCTCTTGAGTTGTAACTTGAAGCCTGAAGACAAAGCTTTGTACAAGTCAGGGGTACTTGCATCATCACCCTTGGCCTCCATCAAAACTCTTTGTACCCACACCTTGAGACTATTTATTTCCACTTTTGCGGACAAAAGAAGATCCATCTTCCATTTTTGGACAATGACACAGCAGTAAATCAGTAAATACCTTGGATGCTGAATCAAGAGACCACTCTAGAGTCTCTCATGCAGAATGTCCAGGTGGGCTTGTTTCCACTAGAACGTCATAACCATTAATGCTCTTCGCTTATTGGTAAACCAGAGGTATGTGTTAATTAATACTATTATGCTAATAAATTATTGCAGGTTGGTCCAGTTCGATATTTTGTGAAGCTCAACAATTCCCGCAATGAGACCCATTACACAAGGTCTGTTGTTATCTTTGTTATGAATTCAGTTGACAATTGGAAACACATTCTTTAACATGCATGCAAACTTGAGTGATTTAGCAACATGGGTGTTATTTGTGGTGTTGCTCGATTGATGATTAAATCATTGTGATTTTTATATCATATCTATGTGGTTATAAGTAATGTGTTTATGAAATTGCTTGATAAAATGATAATCAACCCCAAGAACTTCCTCCTGGCTCTTGAGTGATAATTATGTTAGTTTTCTTGTAAGAAATAACATTATAATAGTTTTGACTAGATTCTCAATAGTGATTCATTATGCTAAATTTAAATTAATACTTTATTTCTTTAAGGATTTGCCCATTGAGGTTTTGGAAAAGTGTTATAGCATAATCTGGACTTTTGCTTAAAATCCATCTTATCATTATATAGCATCCCTTAACAAATCATCCTTATTCTTGCCACCTCCAAAAAACTTGAGGCTGCAAAGCATTCCAACTCAATCAAATCCTTCTCCTGGAGGAAGAAAAAAACACCACAAACTTTTGATGATAAAATCTACATGTACCAGTTCCTTTTGATGATAAATCTATATGCACCAGTTCCTTGACAACTTGATGATAAAATCTATATGTACCAGTTCCTGGACAACTTGCTCAACCCCGGTGTCAAAACTCTAGGGGATTGGCCACTTCTATAATATAGATATCACTAGCTAAGCTAAAAGAAGTGTAAAGTAGAGAAAGATCGTTTTAAGCAAAAATTTAGAGGAACAAAAAACTCAATCGAGTTTTACACGTCGGTGGAGTTCTTGGAAGCGACCGAGAGACGAGACGCCCGCCTCTTGGCCAAGCTCTCGCTCCTGTGCTCTCGCTGCTCCTTGAGGCGAAGAGATAGCAGCTTTTGGTACTCGGCGGCCTCGGTTTTGGCCTTCTGGACGCGCCTCTTCTTCTCGGCAATGCGGTCGCGCTTTCTCTGCAGCGTCCGCGGAGTAACCAGCCTCTGGATCTTGGGGGCCTTGCTGCGCTTCTTGCCTGGTTTTTTAGGAGTTCACGACACGACACGACACTAGTGAGTTTGGATGCACGGTTTAAGGTCCGAGGAGGAACTTACCGGAGGGGGCCGTGAAATTCCGGCGGTACGTGTTCACGTACTTGCGGACATCGTCCTCCTTGTCGAGGTTGAAGAGCTTGCGGATCTTGCTAGCTCTCTTAGGGCCCCTCATCCGTGGCTTCTCGGTGTCAGTGAGATCGGGTAAGTGCTTCTCACCTGCAAACGTGAAAGAAGAAACAATACATCACGAATCAAATCAAATGAACAAAGAGGAAAAAATAAAAAGACCAGAAAAGATGGGAGTACCTTGCTTGACAATCACGAGATTGAGAACAGACAGATCATGGCTGACAATGCAACCACGAACTGACTTCCTCCTCCGCTCACCATCGCGTCGCCCATACCCACGAAAGCAAGTGTCGCCTGGTCACGAATCTCAAATCAGAACGAAAGAGGGAGAAAAGAAAAAAGAAGCATCGTTTTACCTCGGTTTAACAGGAGGCGCACACGCTTCGTCTTGAGGACGCCCTGCTTCATAGGGAAGCCATCCTTGTCACATCCTCCCATGATCTTGAAGACATAGCCTTTGAATTCCTGCACTGCAAATCTTAGAACAAACAGCAAAGCTCAAATGCCGACGAATTCACCTCTCCGAGCCCATCTCCGGGCACCTCTTGCGAGATGCGCTTCTCATAGAAGATTTTCCTGCACGAAAAGAGAACAAAATCACCATTCCATCCAGAGATCCAAGCGACAAGCTTACAGCTTCTGATCGTCGTCAATGTCGACCTTCTTCTGACATCCCGTGGTGGGATTGGCGATGTTGAGCTTCATCGCGCTGCGCCTCTCCTTCCTCCTCTAGGTCACAGCCGCGACGAGCAAAAACCCTAAATCGGAAAATAAACCCTTGCCCTCAAAATCCACGGCAAGGATCGTTCTTTGTAGTAACATCTACACCGTTCAAATGGACGGCACGCATGCCTAAATGTGGCCAAGCCTCGAAGAATATGCCGGGTATCGTTTCATTATTTATGACTAGATTTAAAGTCGAAAAAGGCATATTCGTATCATTTTAAGGTGGTTCTCATTTAACCATGGGAGAACCATAGTTTAGCTGCTGCACAGAGGAGAGAGAGTTTTATGCAATGCTTGTTTTTGCTCATCCTTTAGTCCAAAGTTTAGCACGCTATTTGATATGAATAGAGTAACTAAGTTTTCTTTCCAATCAAAATCTCCTGACACCTCGTCTTCTCGATCGTCTTCCGGTGCTATACCACTTGATAGCTATCCGCTAGGAGTTGCGTGCTTCCGGCGAATCTCACGCTGTTGCCTCCATCCACCTGAAGAACGCTCACAACCTGGCGGCAAAGTTCACCATTGGAATCGCTGTTAAATCGAGTGACAAGGCTTTGTACCTTGAGATCACAGAATGTTTTTGTGGCAGTGAACTTGACGTCAATCGGGAAGAACACCGACGCGTCGGCTGCCGGGACCACGAATTCCATCGCTCCACTGAAAGAAATCAATGCAAGTGAGTGTTGCTGCCAAACTGTAAAAGCGAGCTCTAGCTTACTTCCTATTGCTGTTGTCAATCAAGACTACCGACCACTCCAGAACTGATCGTCTTGAGTCGTACCTACGATCATGTCAAAAGAGTTAAAACGGGAAGAAACACATCAGAGAATTACCTCCATTCTCCGTCCACTTGATTGACTGTCGGAGGATCACGGAGAGCGGGTAGAGGTATCGTAATCTTCACATTTTGAAGCTCGAACCTCTGCGACGCCTCATACTCGATGCTCACGTACGTTTCGCCCCCGGAGATTGAAGGCCAGCAGTTAACTGGAAACATACAGCATTAGTTAGTGGCATAAACAAGCTGGCGAAACCAACGTACTGTTCAAAGGAATTAAAGACTCGTCTTTGCTTGTCATGCGCCACTTTAGAATCCCTGTTGGAGTTCCAGTTGGAAATGGCCGACGGGAATCTTTTAGGCCCAAAATGCTCTCTCTTGCAAACAAATCTTTGTCAATGTTGGGATGAGGTTTGAATTGAACTCCATCGTTGGCTCCGTTTTCAACCTGTACGAAAAAGCAGTTGAATAAGATTAAGAAAAAGGCCAGAAATGGTACCTGGACACGAATGAAGGCGTCGTCTCTGTTCTGGACCACAAGAGACAATGTGCCTTGTATGTCGAACGACTCCAAGCCACCATCTCGTTTACACTGGACGGTGATCTTCTCCTCGACTAGAACGGCGATGGGATCCGTGGGTACACTTGCTGTCAAGCCTACCACGGCAGCAGCTTGAACATCTTCGACGATGTCCTCTCCTTCGGCCTTGAGAGACTCTATGATTCGGCTGGTTTTCTGTCCCTTGCCCAGCTGCATTCCCTTTTTGCTAGAACCAGCTGCCGCTGTTGTAGGACGGCCTGCAATTCCAGACATTACAAATTAGACATGCTTGCACGTACGAGAAGCATACCTTTAGACTTGCTTTCATCCGCCACAAAAGTTCCATTGCTTCTTCCAGTCGAGGGAAGATCATACCCATTGTCGAAGCTGATAGGCACAGATATGATTCCGCTTCTGTCTGGTCTTGTTTTATCCAGCTTGAAAAAAGAAATCATCGTCAGCAACGGAATGCAAGAGAATTCCAAGATTTACCTTGCTTTTGTCAATCTCGTTCGCTTTCTTCTTCATCAAATCTTTAGTCTCGTTGATCTTAGTCTGCATCATCATCCTATGCATCCTTTCCTCCTGACTATCCATTTCCATATATTCCTTTACTTGAGAAGCCGAGACGGCTTCCTTGTGACCCTGGCATATCACCTCATCGAACGCAAAGATAAGCTTAAAACCATTCTTGCAAACGGACTCCTCTTCGAGAGACGTGCAGTACTCAGGAATCTGGGAGAAGATCAAGGTGTAAACTTTAGCACTTAAGGGAAAGAAAAAGAAAGTACCAGTTTAGAGAGAAGCCGGAGTGTTTCTAGGTCCTCTAGAATGTTGCTTTGCTTGTTGGTGACGAGGATCAAATACAAGGATTCCATGGGCTGATAGACATACCGGACGTTTTCAGTCTCCACATATGTGTGCTGCTTGCCAGAGCCAACGAGCTTGGGAAACGCAGCGAGGAGGCCCTCGATTCGTATTCTAGTCATGTCTACAAACTGCCGGGAAACGAGCGCTATTACATCACAAAGGAGACAGCATCAGCGCAAGGATCGAGTGGATCGCAGCCTCAATTTCTCACCTTTCCCGCTCTTGTTGATAATGGAGGACGCTAGAACTACCTGCATCAATCAGCGCACGAAATTCGTGAGAAAATAACTCCCTGATCCAGACAGATCCAAACCATTTTGCTTTTCGTCGAGATCTAGAGCCGGTGAGTCAGATCTACGCTAGGCGCCTTCGCATTCCGCTGCTCGCAGCGTCGGGCGCCACAGATCCGCCACCGGCAGCAGCTCGAGCTCCGACTGCCAGAAAACCCCAAACCCTAGCAGAGGGAAATGGCCCTGCAAAGGCAAACGAAGAACCCTAAAATTTCCAGCTTGCCCGGGTAACTACATTCATCCATCAATCGACGATGCCTCCCCGGTCGCCGCGCCATGGCCATCCCGCGATGCCTCGTCACTCGCCAAAGCAATCCACTCGATCAGGCGATCTGGATCGCGGTCAGGAGCACGATCACGGCGGCATTGCTCCACGATTCTTCCCCCATTCCTCTCTGGATCGCGGCATTGAGAGCTTGCAAGGCGCTGCGAGACCTAGACTGCGGTAAGAGGATCCATTATCTTCTCTCCTCCAAATCTCTTCTCCCTCCTGGCACAGGCATTGTCGCCGCCAGCAGCGTGATCGACATGTACGCTAGATGCGGCACCATGGCCGACGCTCGATCGCTCTTCGATAAGCTCCCTTGCCACGATCTGGCGCTCCTCAACGCCGTGATCCTGGGCTACGCTGACAATGGAGACGGCCACAAAGCTCTCGAGCTCTTCTTCCACGACGAGTCCATACAACCCGACTCGCGAACTTACGTCGCAGCCATCACTGCGTGTTCCACCATGGCCGACACGGAGCATGGACAGGGAACCGAGGATCCCAAGACGGTGGTGGTGAAACCGCGATCGCTGGAGCTTGGCATGCGAATCCACGCTCGCGCTGCTAGCAGTATGATCGACTCCAGCACCACCTTTCTCGGGAATAGCTTGGTGGCGATGTACGCCAAGTGTGGCAGCATGGTCGACGCTCGGATGGTCTTCGACAGGATGCCGCTGCACGACGTCGTGTCGTGGAACTCGCTGCTCTTCGGCTACACCGAGACCGGCAGTGGCGAGCTCGCGCTGGAGCTCTTTTCCAGGATGATCGGAGTAGCACCCGAGGCCAGAACTTTCGTTGCTGCGTTGACGGCGTGTTCCAGTTTGGCAGCGGCAGCGGCCAGAGGCGAGGACGCCGCTTCTTCTGCTTTGATCCAGAGCCTGGAGGAGAAAGGATCGGTTCTTCACTCCCAGGCGGCGGAGAGCGGCGTCGCCACCAACATCTTCGTTGCCAACTCGCTCGTCGAGATGTACTCCAAGTGCCGCAACATGATCCAGGCCCGCAAGGTGTTTGACAGCATCCAGCACCAGCAGCGGAACGTGGTCTCCTGGACCTCGCTGATGCTCGGCTACGCTGAGAACGGGGAGTCCGAAGTAGCGCTGAGACTCTTCTCAAGGATGGCACCGACGCAGCCGGATGCTCGAGCCTTCGCTGCCGCGTTGATGGTCTGCGGAAACTTGGCAGCTCTGGAAACCGGTCGAAAGCTCCACGCCGAGATTGTGTCCAGGAGGGAGCTCCAGAAGGATATGTTCCTTGCGAACTGCCTGGTGGACTTCTACGGGAAGTGCGGCAGCATGTCCGAAGCCGAGCTTGTCTTTCACTCGATGCCCGGGAGAGCGAGAACGGTGATAACTTGGAGCTCGCTCATAGCAGGATATAGTCACCTCGGAGACGCGACCAAGGTGTTTGATCTGTTCCACAGCATGCGAGAAGCCGACGTTCAACCCAACGGTGTAACTCTGCTGTCCGTTCTCACTGCCTGCAGCCACGCCGGGCTTGTTGAATCCGGGCTGGACTTCTTCGAGGTCATGACGTTGAAGCTGGGAATCCGCCGCGAGATGAAGCACTACCACTGCATGATCGACATGCTTGGCCGAGCCAATCACCTTGACAGTGCCGTGAAGTTGGTCCACGAGATGCCGTTTGAAGCGGACCAAGTGACTTGGAAGACGATACTTGCCGCGGCCAAGAAGTTTACCAGCGTTGGAGTCGGGCGACTGGCCTTTGAATCGCTGCTGAGGATCGACGAGCAGGACGCTGCTGTTTATATGTCGATGGCGGACATTTACGGCAGAGCTGGGATGTGGGAGGAGCAGTCGCAGGTGCTCATCATGAAGAACAACTTCCGGGCGTGGAAGAAACCCGGCTTGAGCTGGTGGACCGACGAGGCCGGGAACGTTCACAGTTTCAAAGCTGGAGACTGGAGCCGTCACAAAGGCGTCGTGGAGAAGCTCGAGGAAGTGCTAGTGAAGATGAAGGCCGGAGGATATGTTCCCGACCAAAACTGTCTCGTCCACCATGTCTCTGACGTTGAAAAGGAAAATCTTCTCTGTGGCCACAGCGAAAAGCTGGCCATTGCATTTGCACTCGTTAATACAGCTCCCGGTACGGTGATACGGATTGCCAAGAACTTGAGAGTGTGCGATGACTGTCACAGAGCCACTGCTGTTTTGTCGAAGGTGGAAAACAGGCGCATTGTGTGTAGAGATGCGAGCCGGTTCCACGTTTTTAGCGATGGCTGCTGCTCGTGTGGCGGCTTCTGGTGAAAAAGAAAAACTTTCCAAGACCTTGATGAGTCAGAAGATTGCTTCACCTATGTACAGCTAAATGCACATTCACTGTTGCGACGCCAGCATGAAAGCCGAACTGGTACTACCGCGACTGCTGCTTCCGCCTGTGAGAGAAACTCTTTCTTCGTCGCCCCGGCGTCCCCTGGACGTTGCCGCGGCCTCCTGATCTTCGGCAGAGGAAAGTGGTCCAGACTTTATCAGATTCCAAGGCTGCATCGAAACAAACTTCAGTGGAGAGGAACGTAAATGGAGGAAGAAGAACCTGTCTCATCCAGATCGGTGTGGTAGCGACTGTGGTAATAAATATCGCTATGGTCCATGCCCACCACCATTCTATAGTCACCGTCACTCCAATTGTCACAACCAGTAACCATATCTGCATTAAACATGACACTCCTGTTTAAGTTGACGGAAGAACTTACTTGCATAGGACCACCATAAACAACGTAGTCCGCAAACTTGTAGCCACCCGGGGAGTAAACCATGAGATTTGTTGCACAGCCAGTGGGGGTCATCAGCCCTGCCGATGATGCCATCATGAGCGTGTAGGCAAACGGTCTGAAATCGAGATTTCCTCTCTGAGCCGCTGTGAGAGCAACTGGGAACATAATCGTCACAGCAGCGTTATTCGTGATAGCCAGCGAGAAAACTGTTGTTGCAATGTATGTGCAACTGATTAGACCAAACTGCAAGGCACGAACGAAGATTAGTTAGTAACAACGGCCTATTCTCTGAAGGGTGATAGTTCTTACTTTTGTGGTACCTGCAAGACCCATGAGGGCTTTTGCCACCATATCTGCTGCACCACTCTGGACCATGGCCTCTGAGATGCCAAAGGACGAAGCGATCAGAATCAGAACCGGTAATTCTATAGATTCCTGTAAAGCTTGAGAAGAATAACGACGTCAGATGCTGATGCTGTCAGAAATGCAAATATTATACCATTGCATCTCTAGGAGTCAGACACTTCGTCGCCAACAAAAAGAATGCCGTGAACAAAGCAGCCGTGATAAGATCAACACCAATGCCACTTGCAACCACAAAAGCAAGAACAATCAACGCTGCAATTCCAGCTTTATGTCGCTGCACCAGCACAAATCCTGGCAGCTGCACAAAATCAGAACTTTATGAAGGGCACTACATTTCACAAGCAAAGTAGGCATGCTACCTTTGCAACAAGCGCAAACGTAGAATTATTTCGATTCTTCGCAACGAACTCTGTCCCATCAGCCACCATAAGAAGTGAATCTCCAGCTTCCAAGATTATGTCCCCAATCGCACTATAAAGAAAGAACACAGTTGCAACAAACGACGTACGAAGAAGATAGCTTACCTGCTAAGTCGCACTCCATATCTATGGATAGCAACTATAGCAGCTTTATAACGTGCTCGGAGTTGCAAGTCAGCAACGCGCTTGTGAACCATCGGAGATCCACTTGCAACAACAGCCTCAACTAGGCACTGATTGATCTTCAACCGATTCAAATCGATTTGCTCTTCACCCTGCGCACAACAAATGAGCGAGTCTAAAAGAAAATTGTTAATCTTGAGCGTACCTCACTCTCTGAAAGAGCCAATCCATCTAACTGTGTCAAACCAAGTACTGCATCTATAACACCACCAAAGTGTAGCTTGTCTTTGGGCATTATAACAAAGTCTGGCCCAGGATTTGGAGTGACTACACCTTCTCTCTGTATTTGAACGAGATTGAGCCCTGGTTGACGATTGATACCAGCCCTCTCAATCGTTTTCCTTGTCAATGAAGACGTTGCCTTCACCTCCAATACAACGCTATATTCCCTGCAGTACAAAAAATTCAGTGAGTTCGTCAAGTGCCGCGAAATTATATGATGTGCATCTTAATGTTGGATTCCTGGTGACAAATCTTCACCTCACGTTTATAGTCGTTGGTTGAATTGCAAGACGATCTGGAAGAAGCTTGCCGGACACAGCAACCATATACAAAATCCCAGCAATTGTCACAGGCAAACCAACAATAGCTATCTCAAACAGATTCATTTGAAGCTCGGGGAGTTTCTTCGCGGCCAGGGATACAACTACCAGGTTTGTACTGGCTCCAATCAATGTCAGCGTGCCACCCAAGAGCGCAGCGAAGCTCAGAGGCATGAGCAGCTTTGACGGAGCCATATGCACCTATATGAATGAAGTCAAGCAAACAAAGCATTTTCACGACGGGACCGAATCTATGGAACACTGGCATGAGAAAGGTAATGAGAGCCGCGTACCTTCTTCGCGAACTCCACAATCGGCGGAATCATCATCGCCACCAGTGGTATATTGGCCAGGAACGCACTAAAAATCGCCACAGGAACCGTGAACTTCAGCATCACTCCGACGATGTTCCCTTGTTTCGCTGGATTGTCTTCCTTCTTATCATCGTCGGCTCTGAAGAGCAGCCTAGAGACGTACTCCAGACCTCCAGACTGCTCGATACCTGAATCACCAAATTAAAAAAAAATGTGGGCGATCAATCAATCACAAACTTAGAGCTACCTTTGGCAACGATGAAGAGAACGCCAATCGAGAGCACCGCGTGATCGCCAAACCCGTGAAGAGCTTGATCCAAGGTGAGGATGTTGAGCGGCAAAAAGAGAATGAGGGTGCCAGTCATGACGAGGTATGGAGGGGCGATTTCTAGCACTAGAGCTGCCAACATGATGCCGATGAGCGTTAGCGTGACCCAACCTTCCCAAATGTGATGCCCCTCCCATGACGGTCCGACCGCCATCGCCACGAATTTCTGCTACCTCTGCCCGCGATCTTTCATCCCGGACTGCAAGATTTCCATCTCCTGCGGTCTAGAATCCTTCTCTGGATGAAAAATCCCGATCAGCTTCCAGAATCCATCACGAGCTCCGATCCTAGGCGCGAATGGAAGACAAAATGCCGCGATCGCGGGCACGAAGATTGAAATTCCTGGGCGCCAAAGAGCCCTAACCCTAATTCCCTGTAGCTAATTCTATCTATGGCGTCTTCTTCGCTCCGCTTCTCAATCTCTCCGCCCCGACTCGGCGATCGCAACCACATCGAATGGACTCGATCCGGATTAGATCACTGCTCAATGCGGCCGAGGAGCCACGGCGCCGCCGATCGCCGCCAATTCCTGTGCTGCGCAGGTGTGCAAGTAAATAGTCCTCTCCTTTTAGCGACTGAAGTTTTCCTTTCTCATGGTGTTGATCGTTCTTCCAGGACGATTTAGCAAAGAAGGACATGGATATTTGGCAATTGTTGAGAATAGAAGCAATGGAGCAATCCCAGGCGGAGCCATACCTCGCGAGCTTTCTCTACGCCACGGTTCTTTCGCATCCCTCGCTGGAGAGATCCTTGGCATTCCACCTCGCCAACAAGCTAGCAAACATGACGCTCCTTTCCACCCAGCTCTTCTCCTTGTTCTCGGAAACTTTCTCGGCTGATACAAGCATACAAGTAAGTTCTAAACTTCTAAGATCATCTCATCTCATCGGTGACCTAGGAAGCAATGCGAGAGGACATGAAGGCTTTCAGAGAGAGGGATCCAGCGTGCACAAGCTACGTCCATGGCATGCTCAACTACAAGGGGTTCCTGGCCTGCCAAGCGCACCGCGTCTCTCACAGGCTCTGGCGTCAACATCGCACGGGACTGGCACTGGCACTCCAGAACAGGATCTCCGAAGTTTTCCAAGTCGACATCCATCCCGGTACGTCCTCCAACCTCCTCGTCTCTTCTTTCAATGATCTTCAAGTTCCAGGAGCTCAAGTTGGCAAAGGCATGTTTCTCGACCACGCCACGGGCGTAGTGGTGGGAGAGACAGCTACCATCGGCGACAACGTCTCCATTCTCCACCACGTCACGCTTGGCGGGACTGGCAACCGCTGCATGGACCGGCATCCAAAAGTTGGAAACGGAGTCCTCATCGGAGCTGGAGCAACGTTACTCGGCCCAATCAAAGTCGGGGACGGTGCCAAGATCGGCGCTTGCACGCTCGTCCTCATCGACGTTCCCTGCTACTGCACCGCGGTCGGAGTCCCCGCCAGGATCATTCGCAACACCGCAGCGGCAGTCACTCCACCACCGCCGTGCGACTTCCCGGGACAAAGCATGGATCACACCTCCGAGATCCTGGACTACGTGATCTGACACTTCCCAGTAAAAAAAGCTTTTGTTTTGTACAGTTAGAAACAAGAAAGGAATATAACACCTCCAAATTGTAACGTGTCAGAGGCAAGAAAACTCGGGTGACTACCACCACAGCTAGTCTATATGTCAACACAAAAGATGCCGCTAGAGGAGAGAGGCTTTACCACGAAGTATGGAGAGAGAGATCTCGTCTTATTCCTGAAATCCTCCGCGTGGTCTGCCGCCTCCCCGACGGCCACCACGAAATGCCCTTCCTCGACCACGGCCTGTGATACACATAGTTGTCAACTTAGCGAGTCGTTTCTCTCAAACGAAAACCATACCTCGGCCCCTTGCTCCGGCGTCCTCGTTCGCCACTTCCTGGTACTCGTCTCCACCACGGCCCCGGCCTTGTTGGTATCCACCTCGACCGCGGCCCCGGTTGTCCTCGTAAACGTTGTCTCCGTAGCCTCCTCTTCCCCTCCCGGTGTTCTGATAAAACTCCGTGGCATAGCCTCTACCACGGCCTTGGAACCCGCGGCCCCTTCCACGGCCTCGGCCACCTCGGCCTCGCCCCCAACCAGCATCGTAGCCACCACCGTAGTCAGCGACCGCAACTTCGTTCCCTGGAGATTACATGCATTACAGCAAACGTAATGGCGTTCGAAACTACATGTACCTCCAGCACGAGCTCTGCCTCGTCCGCGCCCCCGGCCTCGGCCTCTGCCTCCTCGAGGTGATACTTCTGTGAAGTGCACGGCCGTCAGGCGAAGAAAAAACAAACAGAGATAACTAAACCTCCGTCGTATTCCGGCTCCACCAACGGCTTCACTTGATCAGCAGGAAGAGGAGCCTGATATCTGCGACAGTTCTCTCAAGTCAAGAAACGATTATGAAACATTGAGAAAGCCCACCCTGATGAGGTGCTGTCTAGCTCCGTCTTTGACAGTGTGATACTGATCATAGAAACATGCCGAGTCGTTTCCAGACTAGAAGTGAGAAAGCAAAGTAAGTCACACGAGGTAGCTGGAAACAAAGACAACAACTTACGGCACAAGTCCTTCCTCGAGCGGTTCCCAAGTATCCGTGAAGTCCGCGGAGCCGATTGTGGTGATTTGATGAAGCCCCGCGACCCTCCTCTGGACGAGAAAAAGACTGTTAGTGACCTCGAGCTCGCATAAACTTCGTTCTCTACTTTGATAATCTCGGCAATGGTGACAGTCTTGTTGATTGCACGGCCCATCGCCTTCAAGACAACATCAGAGCTTTTGTCCTGTAAAAGAAAAGTGAATTCCGGAAAGAGAGAGGAAGAAAATTTTCTACCTGGAGCAAGCTGATAGCGTAGGTGATATAGTTTCTCGTCTTGCCCTGCGTCGTGATGCGAATTTCATTCTCGCTGATCGATGTCTCATCTCGTGGCTTCTCCACTCGCTGATAGCGATCCATGAGGAGAGCGCTGGGGAAATATCACGCGCGGCTCAATCTTTGTTAACCTACAACCAGGAAATGTACCTCGGCTACGGCTGCGCCGCGATGGAAATCCGGAGAGCGTCGCGTCGCGTCGCGTGAAGATTTGTGCGCGCCGGCGACGAGCGGGGCGGATAGGATGCTTGGCGCTCAAGCAAAGAAATTAGGGCTCTTAGTGGTTTAGGGTTTAGACTGGACCACTTCAGCTTTTAGCGTGGCCACTACCGTCGATACTTGCCACGTGGGCAAAGATCCACCGACAAAAGTTTCTGGTTAAGAGCCCTAAGAGACTAGGGTTTTGTTTGTGTTGTGCTCGGTGAGGGCGGCGTGCTAGGCGCTTCGGATCTCTGCGCCTTCGCATCGAATCGCTCGGAGACGATGGTAAGCTCCGTTTCCTCGCGAATTGTTTGGTGATTTTGGTTCCCCTGCTTACGACAGGCCATGCCCGGTCAGGCAACCCCTGGAGAGGTTTCCTTCAAGCTCGTAATCGTTGGCGATGGCGGCACTGGTGAGCGCTTCGTTTGTTTCCTCTTTTGGCTTGGTTTCTTATGGATCTCTCGGTGGCAGGGAAGACGACCTTTGTGAAACGCCACTTGACTGGTGAATTCGAGAAGAAATACGAACGTAAGCTCGGCTCTCTCTTCGTGGGATGATCTCTTATCCCTGTTCTTCCTTGCAGCTACGATGGGTGTGGAAGTCCATCCTCTCGATTTCTTCACGAACTGCGGCAGGCTACGCTTCTACTGCTGGGACACGGCCGGCCAGGAGAAGTTTGGTGGTCTTCGCGATGGCTACTAGTAAGCTCTTCACTCCTTAATGATTCGTTGCTTTAACTTCCTTTTGCAGCATCCATGGCCAGTGCGCGATTATCATGTTCGATGTCACTGCTCGCTTGACATACAAGAACGTTCCAACTTGGCACCGGGATCTTTGCAGGCTAGTTGCACTCTTTCTTGCCGATGGCTTTCTTTTTTCTAACGCATTCTCATCCCGCAGGGTGTGTGAGAACATCCCGATTGTTCTCTGCGGAAACAAGGTCGACGTTAAGAACAGGCAGGTCAAGGCCAAGCAGGTCACCTTCCACAGAAAGAAGAACCTCCAGTACTACGAGATCTCTGCCAAGAGCAACTACAACTTCGAAAAGCCCTTCCTTTATCTCGCCAGGAAGCTTGCTGGGTAGAACTCTAGATACCGCAAGTTTACCGCAAGTTCTAATTCTCTTCTTTTTGCCCAATCCAGGGACGCGAATCTCCACTTTGTCGAGACTCCTGCGTTGGCACCACCGGAAGTTCACATCGATCTTGCTGCCCAGCAACTGTAAGTTCCCTTGTTTCTAGATGCTGTCCCGATTGACGTTCTTGGATCCATTTTTCTTGCACAGGAACGAGCAGGAGATGAATAACGCTGCTGCTCAGCCACTCCCAGACGACGAGGACGACGCTTTTGATTAAAGATTTGCGATGGTTTGGCGATAGGAAAGAGGAAGAGAGATTTGAGCTATTTGATTGCTTGGAAGAAATTTCATCTTTTCTCGTCCCAGAAGGAAGAAATTTCATCGTCGTTTTAGAGAGAAAAGGGGGAGGTGTATGTGTCGTTATGTAACGCAGAAAAAGTGAAAAAAGAGTCGAGAAAAGGTAAAAAACAGTGCCGAAAAAGTTGTGTATGGATTGGAATCTACTTAGGGTTCTAAACAAAAAATGGTGAAGGAAAAAAAGTGGAAAATGGTGTATATTCCTCGAATGTAGGGTTCTAACACGAATGAGGTTATGCCGGGCTCTCCATGCAGTAGCTGCGAGCGATCCTTCCTCCTCTTCTTCTCTAGCGGAATCCTCGGCAGCGGCATTGAAATCTCTCCAGAAATCTCTGGCGAGCGTCACGAATCTCGCCGAGGCGCGCGAGCTCCAGGATCGCGTCGGCAGGAGGGGGCCGCATTGCCCTGATCTCCAGGCCCAGGTGCTGGAGATGTACGTCCGGTGTGGGAGCCTCGAGGATGCGCGGGCGGTGCTTGATTCCCACGGCAGCCTCGCCTCCAATGCCCTCCTGGCCGCGTATCTGGACAAGGGCCACTTCCACGAGGCGATGGGCGTCTTCGCGAGAGCCCGAGGCCTGGACGTCAAGCCATGGACGAGCTTCGTCTCGGCGTATGCCCGGTACGGGCATTTTGATCGCGCGAGAGATCTCCTCTTTAGGATGCCGCAGCACAGCGTCTTCTCCTGGACGGCGCTGCTCTCGGGCTACGTCCACCACGGCCGCGTCGCGGAGGCGCAAGCGATCTTCGAGGAGATGCCGGAGCGCGACCTGGTGTCGTGGAACACGGTGGTGAAGATCTTTGCCAGGAAAGGGTATCTGCTGGAAGGGAGGGAGGTGTTTGACAGGATGCCGCTGTGGGACGATTGCTCCTGGCAGACGATGATCGGGGCCTACTCCGAGCACGGCTACGCGTCCGACGCCACGGATCTCTCCAACAAGATGAAGCAAGGCGACGACGCGCTCATGCACTGCTTGCCTGGGCACGTAGAAGAAGCGATGAAGATAATTGGCAGTCTGAAGTGAGAAAGATGGTAGAGCCGAGCCCGAGAGGGGGCAGCTCTTGCAAAGGCGGGGACCGTCTTCGCGTTTTAGAGCTTTCGAATGGGACAGGAACTAGAGAAATTGGAATAGCTTCTAGATGGTGGTGGTCACACAATAATCCGCGTAGCTCTGCGAGATTAGAAGACCAACGCAATGCAAGCAACACTATGTTCCTGCGTGTATCAAGTACACACAAGGTAGCAAATATTCTTGGACTTGTGTTTGTGTGTTGGACATCGAGCTCGACTTCGCCTGTCGAAGTCCAAGTTCGACACCCCGGCAGGGGAGCTGCAGGGAGCTCATGACCAGCTCTTCTCGTTCCCAAAAGATATACTTGGTGATGGCTTTATTGATCACCTTCAGAGCATCTGAGGCTGGATGCATATGGCATGCGTGATGTTCATTCCTTCAAACCAAAGGAGGAATTATCAGGTGGAGCTGCTCAACATCCTTTTAGGCATCTCCGACGTGAAGAATGGATGACAAATTAATGTAGAAGAGCGCGTTAGAGAGATGGTTGATCCTTTTTATTTTCCAGAACAAGATACTCAGAGCTCACGATATATAGAAATTTTTCAAGTCTCGATACACTTAAACATCATTGTCAATCTTACTGTCTTCTTCACCATCACTTGATCTTCTTCATCATCAATTCCCCATCTCCATCCTGCAATCTAGACAAAACCATGGCTCCTCCCTGGGGTGCAGGAGGAGCCATGGCTCCTCAACCCCAACACAGTTCTTGTGATAGGCCTGGCTACAGAAATCACATCTCAATGTTACGCTTCCAGGGTAAAATCCCTGCTCACACATCTGACACTTCTGATCCTTATCTCCCCCCCTCTCGCAGCTTCTATTCGGGAATGCCAGCCGCTGCTGGCGCTACGCCTGGGGCCTGCCGGGCGTCTCTCTTATTGACTATTGAGAGAATGAACAGACACGACGGGTCAACTTGACCTAAGAGGGAATCACGAATATTCCCTCAATACTCCCACTCAAGTTGAGCTCGCGATACTTCTTTTCTTCACGCCCAGAGCTTGTACGTGTCGCGCGAACACTGCTGGTGGAAGTGCCTTCGTGAATATATCTGCCACCATCTCCGTGGTAGCACAGTAGACGAGTTCCACTTTCTTCACCGCTACCTGTTCACGAATAAAATGAAACTGAACCTGGATGTGTTTTGTCCTGCGATGAAATCTTGGATTCTTCGTCAAGGCAATAGCTCCTTGATTGTCGCAATGCAGAACCGTTGCCTCCCCTTGCTCGTAGCTTAGACCGTTCAGCAGAGTCCTGAGCCAAAGAATTTCTTTCGCTGCTTGGGTCATCCCGATATACTCAGCCTCTGTGCTCGAGAGAGCCACGGCTGGCTGCTCCATGTAACTGCTGCGCTGCCCAGGCTGAAGACGTAGCCAGAAGTTGATTTACGCTGATCAACTTCCCCTGCCCAGTCTGCATCCAAGAATCCCTGCAGCTTGAGTTGAGGCTGCTCTTGTTTTGTGTAGCAGAAAACATAATCGGCTGTCCCCTTCAGGTAACGAAACACCCGCTTAACTGCCTGCCAGTGTTGGAAGCCGGGATTTGCCAGGAACATCTGCCTGTACGGGATCGTCTCCATCACTGCTTTCGGTGCTTCCGTCTGAGGTGCCATGTCCTTACTGAGGTGCATGCCAACTTCCATTGGCGTTGATGCAGAGTTGACGTCACTAAGCTTGAATTTCTGGAGGAGCTCTTCAATATATTTCTTCTGAGACATTTCTAGTGTGCCCTTCCTCCTGTCTCTGAAGATCTGGATGCCAAGACAGTACTTGACGCTCCCAAGATCCACCATCTTGAATCTCGAGCTGAGATCTTTCTTCAGTTGATGAATCAGCTTCTTGCTTTTGCTGAGGAGCAAGCAGTCGTCCACGTACAAAGCCAACAGCACCAGGAGAGCTCCCACTTGCAGGCACGAGGCGATTGCTTCAGGCCGTAGAGGGCCTTCTTGAGCTTGCACACCAAGTGCTCTCGTCCTTTGGCAATAAATCCGGCTGGTTGCTCAATGTAGACTTCCTCCTCCAAGTCACCATTCAGGAACGCCGTCGTTACATCCATGTGCTCGACGTGCATGTCTTCGTGAGCTGCTAAGTTGTAGAGAAGTCGAATTGATGCAAGCTTCACCACTGGTGAAAAGGTCTCATAGAAGTCGACTCCTTCGACTTGTGAGAATCCTCTCGCAACAAATCTGACTTTGTAGCGTGTGTCTCCATCAGGTCCTGTCTTGAGCCGCAAGAGGAACTTGGTCTTAATCACCTTCCTCCCAGGTGGCAGCTCCACAAGATCCCAGGTCTTGTTCTCCATCAATGAGCTATACTCAGCTTGACGAGCAGTGCGCCACTGATCTGCATCAGGTCCGGCAAGAGCATCTTCCATGGTCTTCGGAACAAGTGCAGCTCGGCCATGGCTGAAGAGAAGGAGAAGCTGGTTCTCGCCTTGCTCCCCTTCTTCCTCCATGCTAGAGTTGGCAAAATAAAAGGCTGGATCGTAAGAGGTCTCGCACTGTCACTGATCGGTCTCTTGCAGCCTTGGTTTCTTGCCGAGAAGCCCGCTTAGCTGCTCGTATGTCCAGCTGCTCCCTGTATTGACGAGCCTCTGTGAGTGCGCGCTCACGGCCAGAACGTCTCAAATTGCCCTCACTATTTTCAGCCCTGGTCCTGCCAACAGTGCGCTCACCACCATGGTCTTCTTCTCCGCCGACTGGGTTTGCTGTGCTAGCGCTCCCACTGGTTCCAACGCCTGCTGTGTCGAGTGGCAAGCCTTCAGCTTCAGGGAGCAAGCCCTCACCTCCATTTGGATCGCCTCCAGCACCATCCACGCTCTCTGCACCGCCTGGATCATCCTGGTCGCCGCTTCCATTCCCCTCACCGGCTCCTTCAGCTCTGCCGATTGCGCGTGCCGTAACTGGACATTCGTTGTCACTTTCTTCCGAGTCATCCGCAGCTACTTCCGTGGGAGAAAACTGTGGCGGTGGCAGGAGATTTCTTGTCACATACGTCCTGGACAATTTCCCTGCTGGAAATTTCCTGAGGTGTGTCATGTGTTTGTTTGCCCCAGAATCAAGGTACACCACTTCTGCTTCTGTGCCAAGAGTGTTCTTCGCAACCTGCTGGATGCTAGTGGCCATGAACAAGCTGCCATGGTCGTCCACGTCCTCCTGGTTGTCTTCCTCGCTACTTTCTGCTGTCCTGGCAAAGTTGGCCGACTTGTTCTTTCTTGCTGCCAGTCTCTTTGCCTCAGCTTTTCGAGCCTCCTTAGCTTTCTTGGCCTCTTCGTCTGTGCAATCTCGTGCCCAGTGCCTTGGTTTCTTGCAAAAGTTACAGCGATCATTCTTCTTTTTCTTCTTGAACTTTTCTGGTTTGCTGCTCTCGCCCTGATCGTTCATTGGTCCTAGTCTGTCCCAACTGTGACAAATCGTTTCCCCTTTCCTGCGAAGAGTGCCAATTCTTTCTCATTTGAGCTCGCTTGCCCTGACTTGAGAAAACCCTCCAACGCTGTGAGGTCAGCTACGATCTGAAAGTGTTACTGGAACTTAAATGATGCGACCCTGCGAGTTGCATTGGTCTGCTAAGCCCCTTGAAGAAAGCTGTGATCAGCTCATCTTCATCAAAGTCCTTCATTTGAACTGCATCGATGGATTCTGTCTGAAGAGAAGAGAGCGGCCCTGAGACGCTGACAGAGGCAGCGCCATCATCCCAGGATTTGAAGCCCTCAGGGCTTCGATACCATATTCGGGAATGCCAGCCGCTGCTGGCGCTACGCCCGGGGCCTGCCGGGCATCTCTCTTATTGACTATTGAGAGAATGAATAGACATGATGGGTCAACTTGACCTAAGAGGGAATCACGAATATTCCCTCAATAGTTTCTTCTTCGTGAGCTCTTTCTCGTCCAGTATAATGACCTCCATGATCACGTCCATCCTTAGCCCAATACGCTAGTCGTTCCAGCCAAATGGCTCAGTGAAGTACTATCCACTTAGCAGCTTCTCCCTCGCACACTGTGTTACGTAAGCGATGGTGCTGCCATGCAGCGGCCCT